TGGCCCCAGCAGCAGCATGGCCCTAGGACACTAACATGGCACCAGACCTCAGATGCCTGCATGGCCTTCGATGGTAACAGGACCCTCAAACATCAACACAGACCAGACCACAGATGCTATCAGACAGTGCATGCCATGAAACTGGAATTTCCCCAGTAAAGGCTAGGACCCTGGAGTCTACTCCAGTTGTCTCCCGAAACAAGAGTTCATACAGTCCTGACAACTTGGTGGAAGGTTGGGCAGAAGAGAGCCCAGTAGAAAGGACAGTGGTGGTAGGACCACACCCTAAGCAGATTCCTTAGCAATGGGCCTCTGGCCCTGTATTTAAACCTGCACCTCATGTTAGGATGTTGAAGATGGACATGGGTTGGGATGTCACTATAGTTCCTTGTTGTTCCTCCTCCCAGTGCAGATACAATGAATAAATTTCCTTTTTTCCTGCCTTTCCTGCTTATTTGTTGGTGTAGTTGGCCTATTGTGAATGGTGGTCAAGCAAGGCTTCTGGGTGCTGCCAGGGGCCCAGGCTCTGACCTAACAACTCTATAACAAGCTTTCTCCAAAGTGTCAGCAGAGCTAGTCACGGCTGCAACTTAAAAGCCATGTAAGAATTTACCGGGTGGGCGAGGAAGGTGGGCATCTCTGGCAGAGGGAATAATTTATCAGATGAAGAACACGGTATGTCTGGAGAGACATCCCAGACTCATGTATAAATCTTCATGTCCTACAACTGGTCAACATCTTTCAGTTTTAGTTACTAAATAATGTTTAGAAACCTTTCTATACCAGCTCTAGACTGGTTCAAGGACTCCTTTTCCTTTAATTCCTAAAACACTTATTCGTTCTGTTCCCACAGCCCATCTCCTAATCACCCACTGGGGAGGTTTGAATGAGAAGGCCCCATAGGCTCAGATACTTGAATGCTTGGTCACAAGGGACTGGAACTGTTTGAAAAGATTGCAAGGATTAGGAGGTGTGGCCTTGTTGGAGGAAGTGTCACTGGGGGTGAGCTTTGAGGTTTCAAAAGGCCATGCCAGTCCTCCGCCCCACCCCCAGATCAGGATCTAGCTGTCAGCTCCTGCTCCAGCACCATGTGTGAGCATCCCACCATGATGATAATGGACTCAACTCTGAACTGTAAGCCAGCCACAACTAAACGTTTCACTTTCTAAGAGAGCCGTGGTCATGGTGTCTCGTCACAGCAATAGAACAGTAATTAAGACAGCCCCTGCCAGCTTCCCAAGGACCCACTTAGCATGGGGACTGTGACTGCTGCCAAGTGCTACCCTGTCACTGGTTCAAGTCCCCACTTCTCAGCACAGCTGAAGTTGCCTTCAGTATCCCTTTTGCCATGTATTCCAGCAAGACTAAACTGCATGGAAGTCCTTGAATGTGTTGCTTTGTGTCTGTGCTGGGCAGGCCAAATTAGGACGCCATTGTGCCTGTCCACCACACTACCTACAAATAACCCATGTGTGTGTATCAAAGGCCTTCTATTCCCAGGGAGTCTAGGAAACAGCAATAGGAGGAACCAGTTCTCAGTCCTGGAGATCTCTTAGTCCAGTGTGGGGGCTCTGACAGATTTCCTACCTAAAAAACACCGTCTAGGACACTCATCAGAAAATTCTTTTAAATTGTGCAAATGAAAGAGTCTTCATAAACCACTGTCTAAGGGAGTCTGTCTGGACACTGTTCTGACTCATTTTTCCTTTAAACAACAAGCATGGCAGTGACTAAGGCAGCTGGATCAATGTTTAACTGCTCTAATTATGGATCTTTAGGAAATTATAGCTCTTTTAACTAGTAGAAAACCTTGTTATATACATGGAGTAAAATTATATCCAAGTAGTCCAAGTTAAATCAAGGACATAATTTGGTTAGATGTTTACAAACATAGAAGATTAAAGATGTCTAGAGACACCTGGTGCCTGCCTGCTCCAAACACAACGTCCCTCCATATTCTCCTCAGAATCAAGCCACAGTCACATGTTGTCCAAATGTCTCTACACACTGATGCTCGATGGCCTTATGCTGGCTTCTCTGAGTGCTCACACTCCCTTTTCCTCTGCTTAGAAACTAAAGCCAAAGGAGGCCTCTCTTCCCTGGTTGCCCACACCCTTTGAGCCTTACAGCATGGCCCCACAGAATGTAAGGGCTGGGAGGAAGGGCCAGCGCTGCCTTGTTCATTCTGCTGTCCCCAGCACCATACATAAAAGTCATAACGAATACATGTTAACTGAGCGATGGTGCAATTCTACCTGAAAACTTACTGAGAAGAATTCAAAATGGACATATTACCAGAAAACAAAATTTGCCAAAGGCACAACTGGTTAATTTCCTCTCTGATAACTATCTGTAATATTCCAGAATTTAAATTCTGAGTGTTAAGTCTGCAGTCAGATTTGCACTTCATTAGACCTGCAGTCCAGGACAGTGTTCAGCGGCTCTGACAGAGGGTGGCGGCGTGACTCACTTGCGATTGTCTGAGGTTAGCTCCCACAGCTGCTGTACTACTGTCCTTGTCAACCGCTTGCCTCTTAGATGAGAGTTTGACACAAAGGAAGGAAAAAACCTTCAGGAGATTTTCAACCATTTGGTGTTTGTTATTTTTAGTTTGGCACATGGGTCTCTACAGCTCTCAAATGACAGGCTTTCTTCAGGGGAAAATAAAAATAAAGAGAACAGAGCTTGAGACCACATTCTTAACTTTTTCACTGGTTCTCTGTAAGTAAGATTTTAACACATGGTCTCTGGAAATGAAAACTGAGTTCCCCCTAAAAGCAAAAACCCACTTAGTCACTGTACTGTGCTTCACTTAGCAGATCTTCCCAGGCACGTGGGCAGGCAGGTGTGTGGTAAGCACTGCAGCAAAAGAAGATACTCGATGTTTTATTCTGTGTCCAATCCTCTTCTCCTTGTTGCCCTGTGACCTTGAGGACAACAGCTGGTCACTCTACTCATGTGCCAAGGAGAGACTTCATACAAAAGAGCATGGGGTGTGGGGTGGTCCTGGGCTTTTAAGGTTTAAAAGCCTGGGTTCTGAAAGATCTAGGGGAGGGGAGGGGAGGGCCAGAAGGAAGCAAAGCACTCGGTGCTGGGGGACTGTGAGCCTGTTCAGACCATCTCAGATGGCATCAGTGCCAAGGGAGACAGAGCCTCCAGACAGGTTAGGGAACCCATCCATTTCACCTTTTCTTGTGGAGTTGGTAAAAGTAAAAAGGCACCAGAGTTTTCTGTGTTATTTTATCTATTAAGATCAAAAGGAAACAAGCAACCATTAAGTATTCAAAACTAAGGAAATTGGGACTGAAGAGATGACTTAGTGGTTAAGAGTGCTGTTACAGAGGACCCAGGTTCAGTTCCCACATGGCAGTTCACAAACAGCCCTGGGGATCCAATGCCCTCTTCTGGCTTCCCTGGGCACTAGGCATCCACGTGGTACACAGATATATACATGCAGACAAAACATCCATACACAGAAAATAAAACTTTGGAAAATAAAATTGAAAAACTCAAGGAAAATTAATGTTAACAGAGAAAGGGATACATGGATGATACAGAAACTGAGAAGCTAAGAGGGCAGATGTTGCCATCAGACACTAAGCCATCACACACTCTCCTATGCTGGGCCAATGGGAAGAAATGGTTTGGAACTCAGAGGTCAAGGTAATCCAGGGAGTTGAAACCATAGCAGGGATGTTGGGAAAGAATTAGAGCATACAGGAAGTACATACAGATGATGGCATGCAAAGGGGTGGAGGAAATCCTGGCCCTCTGCCATGGACCTGCTAACCACTCCCAAGTGCCTCACAGTGAGCACCAAGCTCGACTCTTGCTTACTTGAGATCTCACCCTGCGGAAAGGCAACAGAAGGCTGAAAGCATGGGTCTGGGTAAATGCATGGTGGGGAAGCCGAATGACTGTGGGATTTTCTGGGACAGTGACCCTAAGACAGCCTCACAGAGTCGCCATACTCTGGCAGGATCCAAAGCAGCCTTGAGAGCCAGGATGAAGCAGATACTAGCGTCTACCTAGACTTGAAACTCAGCATCAGATGGACTTAAGACAGGGTTCCTGTATGCCCAGAAGACACTTCTGAGAAGACCAAACATGAACTGAACCACAAAGAACTGACTACATACATCTAACTCTTCACACCAAAGAACAGGGAGGAGACTACCTTACAGAATGAAGGTTGGATTTAGATGCACTCATAAGTAAAGAAAGAGGATAATCTGGACCAGGGACAGGCACATCCTTCATCAGAAGCAGCTAACTGGAGGTTGGGGAAGGATGTCTGTGGAGCAGTGAGAAGGAGGTCATGCTAATGGTGTGCTGGAGTTGGAGATGTGTGTAGTGTTCCAGGGCTTCTCAGGGAAGACCTCAGAGAGGTGATGTCTGACTGAGGTCTTTAAGTAGGGATTTAGTAAGCAGCTGGGGTGTCTTTCCCTCCTATGGCACCAAATTTTGAAAGGGGTTCTTGTTTACATATAGTGGCAAAGTTTTTCAGAAAGACCCATTTCTCAGCACCTGCTCTGTGCGGGAGGAGATGAGCCTGTGTGGGGTGGCACGATGGGCTTGGTCTTTACAGAGCAGCATTAACTGATTTTGAGACATCAAAGTCTTGTCAGGGATCTTCCTAGACTTCAGCTTCAATCTCATGGGAAAAATACACGTGGCTGCCTAAAGCATATCATTGCTACACAGATCAAAAAAATCTATGAAAAAAATGAATTTCACACTATCATGTATTACTTTGGCTTGTCATGCCTCTTCTCAAAATACTGGATCATGCTAATTTTTTTTAAACAAAGAAACATGATAATTTACCAATAACACCATTAATTACTATTCTAGGGACAATATTCCTAAATTTTCCATTTGTAATCTAATCACTTAAGAAAAAAATATTATTATCTTCATCTTCTGGAAAACAAGAAAACAATATAACAAAAAAGACTGTTTAAAATATGTATATATACTTATTTATATTTTTTATTTACCTCATGTGAGATGGATGTTCCAGAAAGATCTATTGATATCAAGGATTGCATGTTTGCAATACATTCAATTGCCAGGTCAGTCAAATGTTCACAATTTCGTAAACTCAAATAGTGTAAATTAGTGCAGCTGAAAAAAAAAATGCCACGATTAACTTCAGCTCTCAAACACATCAACAGTGCCAGTTTCTCCATTTAAAACTCTGGGGAGAATAGATGGAGTGGAAGATAGGATTTGCCTTTTCTCATCTTAAACATAGAAAGCAGTTTGGCTGTTTTGTTTTGTTGATACAGAGTCCTAATCTATACCTTAAACTGGCCTGGAACTCATTTTGTAGTTCTAGGCTGGCCTTGAACTCATGGCAGTCCTCTGGACTCAGCCTGTGAAGTGCTGGGGTTTGGGATAGGAGCCCCATCTGGCTAATATAAAGTTGGAGGGAAGAAAGGTGGAGTAATATGAGACTGTCTTTGATTTCGTTTCACACTATGGTTTAGAACAATGCAAGAAAAGTGTTTTTCAGAGTCATAAAACACCAGCATGAAAACACCCTGAAGAGTAGACACCAGACATGCATGGCCAACCTCCACACTTCTCTCTCCTTGGTCTATGGCAGGAGCCTTAGTTGAGGCCACTGCCAAGCGAGGAGGGTCAGGATTAAATCAATCATCTACAATAGTCCTCAGGAAACCTGAAGTAGGGACAGAATCCTTGAAAAGTGCAGACAAGTCACACTATCTACACATCCATCTCTCTGTTCAGAATTAAACCCAGTAACAATAAGAGGGAGCAGCAACGATGGGGTTAGGCTACTTCCTTCTAAGGACTCAAGCCTAACGGCTATTCTAGCTCTGGGTGTGCCCAACATGCAGCTAAGGACTTGGGCTCTTGGCTTTTAGGTCTATCCATGGTCACGCCTGTTACAGCTAATGTTCTAATGCAGATTGTCGCTTGTCCTACCGCTCTGACAGTTTCACAATGGCGGGATCGCCCACAAGGGAGCAGTTATTCAAATTGAGTTCTCTTATCTTCACACTCACAGAACCATCAAGAAATTGCCTCAGGCCAGCATCACTAATCCTGTGGAAAAGAGAGACAGAAGGGTCACATATGTTCTCATAAATAAACATACAGGCTGGTGGTGACACCAGTTTCTACACCAAATACATTCCAAAGTAGGAAATATCCATACACTGGCGTTTTGTCAAATTTTTGAAAATGATTGCATAGCTCTTAATATAACAGAAAATGGATATATGATAGTAATAGGAGAGATATTAATAAAATGTTATTTGTGTCCATTTGTTTTATTAGGTGGCATGATTATTAATAACATGGATGATCTCTTTTTTCCAGTTTAAAATGTACTAAGGTTAAAAAATCCCTGATAGGATCAGCAAAAGGCTAAGGCCAAATTTTAGAACAGGAAGAAGCAAGACTCAAGATCCTGGATGGATTCTACCGAATTCAAGGTCACCTGGGTTGGACCAGAAACACAAGGGGTGACCTTTGGAACTCTAGGCCAGAGAAAACTTGCATCTGGAAGAAGTCGGTGACTTCAGCCTGTCGTCATTAGAAGCGCCTTGAGGGGCCACGCTATCTCCCTGTACTGTCCTCGGTCTTCCAGGAGGGCTTTACTTCTAATATTATCTGAAGACCACCAGTTGCGTCTCTAGAAAGCCTTTCCACCAGTGAAACAGGACAAGCGATTGATTATATCACACACAGACAGTCTACAGGAGGGTGTGCGGGCAGGAAGAGCACTCAGAGCCTTCCTTGCTGGCTGCACTTTCCCTTTGACTCGCCAGGAGCAGAGCAGAAAAGGCAGAAGGTGATTGTTTCTGTTGCTTCAATGAGCCAAGCACCCTTAGCCAAGCAGCTTCTGAGATGGCGTACTTACTTATAGTTTTAGGTTACAGTCCACCATTGAGGGAGGTCAGCTCAAAGCAACTAGTCTCTTCCCATCCGCAGTCAAGAGCAGAGAGAGCTGAAGGTACCCAGGCACCCAAGCTGCCTGCTGGGCATCTTGCTCTCAGCTAGCTTTCCCTCCTCATACTACTCAAGGCCTGTCCTGGTTTCCTTTCTGTTGCTATGATAAAACACTGACCAAAACCAGCCTGGGGAGGAAAGGGTTTACTACACCTTACAGTTTCGAGTCCATCATCAGAGGAATCGAGGACAAAAGTTCAGGCAGGAACCAAAGGCAGGGAATAAACACCGACCTCAGAGATGCTTGCTACTAGGCTCTAGACAGCCCAGGCCCACCCACTCAGAGACACCATCTCCCACAGTGGGCTAGGCCCTTCTACGTCTAAAAGCAATCAAGACATAGTCATGCCCACAGGTCACCCTGAAAGAAGCAATTGCTCAATTGAGGGCCCCTCTTTCAGGCTGTGTTAAATTACCAAACAAGATTAGCCATCACAGGACCCCCAAACCAGGGCATAGTGCTGCCCACAGTCAGGGTGGGTCTCCCATGCCAATTAACAAGCCCCCCCCCCCCAGACATGCCAACAGGCTAACCTGACAGACAGGTTGGAAATCCTTTCAGGTGATTCTAAATTGTGACAAAGTTGACATTAAAAACTATCATAACAGTATTCCAGCGAATGGAAACTTTAGTGATTCCCATGATGCATCTCACCCAGTCACTGCTGTACCAGCAGCTAGGAAGGCAAGCCAGAGGCTGGTGGGGTGGGAAGTGAGGCATGACGAAGAGCAGGGTCCAAACACAACAAACTTACCTATTAGCTAACACCAGACTGGAGTAATCAATGAGTAATGTTTTCACTAACAAGAAAATAAAATATAGAACCCAAGCTATAAGACTGAGAAGTGTGTCTCTGGAAAAGATTTGCAAAAGAAAGCAGAAAGGCAGCACTGTGGGCAAGGAAACAGGAGTGAGAGTTCACAAAGAAAGAACCCACCGGAAGCAGGACAGTTTAGTAACCTGAGACTCTGCTTAGTTTGAGATAGATTAGCTCCTTTCCAGGCACACAATGTACCTAGCAACCTCAGAGCCCCCTCAAGCCCCACCCACACTGCGCTACTTGTAAACCTCTGTGAGAAACAGTGTAAGTTGTCCTTCTCCTAACAACAATCAAACCTAGACAGTTTCCTTTCAAAAAGATTTCCAGATATCTAGAATGAAAAATAGGCCGAGCCAGCTCAGCTGGTTTTGGGAGCTAGTGCAATACAACAAAACTGTGTTTTCAAGTGAACTTTTAGGGAAAATCCTCTGCGTACAGTCTTGGGCCTATGTGTATGATTAAAATCAGATGCATGTGCCGTCAAAAATGATTATATAATTACTCTATCAGTCAAACTAGAAAACTCATCTACACAGTAAGACTTGGTCCCCTGCCTTTCCTGATCCCCATTAACACTGTGGAGAGGGACTGGCTCATCCTTGATAATGTTACTTGAACCCTGAGTTGACATACCCTGAATGACTTCTTACCTTATGCAATTGGTCAAGTTCAACACTGTCAATTGCTTCAAAACTGAAAGTGACTTGAGGCTGCTGTCTGTTAGTGTCTTGCAGTCCACCATGTAGATGTGATTGATACCTGGGTAATTCTTGTCTATGTATTTGAAGCATGCATCAGTAATCCTTTTGTTTCCTGTGGAAAAGAAGGAAATACAAGTACTATATTTAAAGGTCCAGGGAAAAAAATTTAAAAACAAGGTTAAATCATGTTTTTGGCTTCACAGACCTTCAAATCGGATCTTTTTGAGGTTACAGGAAGTAAGAGCTTTGAAAGCACAGTCAGAGATGTGTGGTGAGCCAATGAAAACCACCGTTGAAATTTGGAGACACTTCTCAACCAAGACCTTTGGGAGAGGAAAGAACAGAGACAGGTTAACTACTGTAGAGGACCAACAATGAGGAGATACTGTCATTTTCCCCTCAAGATTTTCAGAAACAGATATGCTAACTATTACATTTTCCTAATTTTGAAGCAAATAGGACTGTTTTCATATTTTATGTAATGCAGTATTTTCATATTTCAGTAATGCAGAGAAATAAAATCACGTTACAAGGGCATGGAAAAACATGAGGAAATGAAATGTTAAAAGTCAATTGGCAATTTGACATGGGGGGAGATCAGATTTAAGCCAAGCAGAGCTGGATCTAGGTCATAGTTGGGAGAATTGCAGTTGTGCTTTGGCTATAACATCATAAAGAATTTAAGCATTCAAATGGATTTTGTTGTGTTTTTTTAAGGGAATTGGTATTTTACCTGCATGCGTGTTTGTGTGAGGGTGTTAGGTTCCCTTGGAACTGGAGTTACAGACAGTTGTAAGCAGCCATTTGGGTGCTGGGAATTGAATCCAGGTCCTCTGGAAGAGCAGTCACTGCTCTTAACCACTGAGTCATCTCTCCAGTCCCTCAAATGTTTTTAAAGGTGCATGCCTGTGTGTATCTGAAAATATTTAAATGACTTCCTAGATACTAATCAACTCAAATAAAAAGCCAATTCACATTTCTCAATCGCCATTATATTCTCACTACCCACTTTGACACAGTTGTCGGTCAGGGTTGGCATGTCGTTGATGGTGAGGTGCATGATCCCTGTGCAGCTGTTTGCAATGTTCCTGAAGCCTTGCACTGAGATCTGAATTAGGGAGGAGAAAAGCATGAGGAAATTAATCAGTGGGGCCACTCACACCATGAAAGGAGGGGCTCACCAAAGGTAGCCCTGGAAGTTCTGCACATTTTAAAGCCTTTTGCCAGTGAGATGGCTCAGCAAGTGGGGTGCTTGCTGCCAGCTGGACAACCTGGATTCAACACCCGAACTCACCTGCCAGCAGACAGAACTGACTCCAGAAGTTGGATTCTGACCCCTACAAGCTCCATGGGACCCATGCACTGAAGCATATTTACACACACACCCAAGATAGTAAGCAAATAAATGTAATTTTCAAATAAATAAAATAAAGTTGAGATAATAAAATAGGACTGACATAGACGGGAAGAATCTAGTTGTGAATTTTTGTCACTAGGTCATGTCTTAATGAAGTAAAACCTCACATAATATAAACAGCAACCATTTAAATAACTATTCAATATTTTATGGTCACCACCTATATCTAGTTCCAAAACGCCTTACCCATAAGTTAGATGCACAACCAGGTGCCTGCTCACCACACACCCTGCCCCTCAGTCCCTGGCATCACTAACCTGTTTTATGACTCTTTGGACCAACTTGTGTGGAATATTTAATAAAACACAAGTACACAATACAAAGCCCTTTGTACCTAGCCATTTCACTTAGCATTTTGTTTAGAGTGACTTGCAAGCTGTTGTGGTCCAGCTAATCCAACAATGTCTGTCTACCAACAGAAAGTCCAAGAATTCGGTAGTTGTTCAATCCACAAGGCTGGATGCTCAACTGGTTTTCATTATATGCTGGAATCCGGAAGAAGTCGTCTCTAATGCCAGTGAAGAGATGGACTTGCCATCAAGGACAAGCAGACAGAGAGTAAGCTTCCTTGTTCCATGTCCTTTACACAGGCTGCCAGTACAAGGTGTGGCTCAGATTACAGGTGTATCTTGAAGTGGGTCTTCCCACTTAGGTTTTAGCTAATTCCAGATGTAGTCAAGTTGGCAACTAAGAGTAGCTGTCACATCCACCCTGTGTCCATCACTTCCCATGGCTCTGTTCCTTCACAGAATGTCCTGTCCTGTAGGTGGGCTACATTCATTCCTACATTTGTCTGTTACGTCTTGTTTCCACCCTGTCCAGTTTGAATGGTGTTGCCGTGAACGTACCTGAGTCTGGTGCCTGAGTATCGTTTTTCAGCTTTTGGAGTATGTACAGGACACTGCTAGATGGTACTTTAGTTCTGAGTTTAACTTTTAAGGGAAACGAAAAATTGTTTGTTTGGTTATTGTTGATTTTACGGTAACACACACTTTACATTCTCAACAGCACTCTATTTTCTACAGTTCTATTTGGAAGGTTCCAGTTTTTCTGTCTTTGTCAACACTAACTTCCTATCTTTTCAAGTTTTCAAGCACAGGGTGGAGAGATGGGTCAGTGGTTGAAAGCGCTGTCTGCCCTGGCAGGGGCCCGGGTTCTATTCTCAGCATCCCATGGCAGCCCACAACCATCTGTAACCCCAGATCCAGGGAATCCAATGCCCTGTTCTGGCCTCCAAAGACCCCAGGTCCACAGGTGCTGCAAAGACATACATGAGGAAAACACTCATGCATAAATAAAAAATAAACATAAACACATTTTAGAGAAACCCGAGTAAGCCTGAAGAGACACACCTTTGTGGTTTTGCTCACATATCCTCAGTGATCCACAACACTGGGTACCATTTCCTCTGCTAAGAAGCCATGTCTGTCTCCTCTGGGGAAGTAAATATTTTAAAACAGGCTGTCTTTTTGTTGTTTTTGAATTACAAAAAAATTTAAATATATCCTGGATCTTAGACTCTTAATACATCAATAGAGTTTTTTTTTCTCCCAGTCTGTTAGTTGTCTTTACATTTAAAAAATAACATCTTTTCAGGCACAAAAGATTTTAGTTTTGATGAAGTCCAATTTACCTATGTTTTCTTGCATCTTTAGACGTCACTTGCTTGCACTTCTTGCTTACTCAGGTAATATTTTCCTTCTCAGATCTTTGATAGGGATGAAGACAAGATAGTCACAGTTCCTATCCTCTCATATCTTACCTAAGAGCATATCAGATACTAGATTCAGATTCTTCAGGATAGGACAGCTATTAGAGTAATCTCTATAATTTACCATTTATGTATGATCTGGACATTTAGTATGCGTTTCTTACTTGATGTTATTTTTGTTGGTTGTAATTCCATTTTTGTTTCTGTTACTACACTTTCTTTCTCCTGGACAATATTTGATAATCATTCTTATTGTATATAGTTTTGTATTAGGCTTAGAACCTTCTTATTTAGACATAAAAGGGAAGTGTAGTGGGCAGTGCTTCTCACCTGCTGATGTAACCTCTTAAAAAGGAAGGAGAGAGGAGGGTCGCTCTCTCTTGGGTGGTGAAGACCAGGTCAGGTAGTGTGAAGCAGCATGCGATTGGTTCCTAGCTTTCTAAGGACTCTGAAACTGGATTTATCATATCCTGTATTCATGCATGTATTTTTCCCTTTTTCGTAACTTAATTAAATCCTTGTTACCTCTCAAACAGACACATGTGGATTTCTCATTACACTGTAATGGTTTCCTTTTCAACTGTTATAAATCTATATTAATGGAAGCAACAGTGGTAGAGGGTATTCAAAATAATGACTACATGATAAAATACCTTAAAATAATTAGCTCTTTAGGATGGGAAGCACTTGGTGTTCAGCTTTATCTGGGGGAAACTGAGGCCATCAAGGAGCAGATGTATGCCAGTGAAGTGTTATTTCTACAACATCATGGAACAGAAAATGTAGAGTAACATCTGCAATACACTTCTTATGAGACCTTCAGAGACTTTCCATATGGGGGATGTCTCACCAGAGCCTAACCTACCAGCAGAGGACTAGCCAAAGTTACAGGGCTGAAGCCCACATCCTCAGATGTCATCTCAAATGTCACTTCTTCAGGAAAAGCCCCTGACTCTTAGACTAGACCAGGTTTTTATAATAATACACCTACAACACCATATAATATCATAAGCTAATGTATGGTTAGATATTGAACTAATTCTATTCTGGCAGGCCACCTATGTCATCAGGTAGATAGATAATCAAGTGATATTGTTATATGAGCGGACATGAGAATATATGAATAAATGCAGAGAACACTCTTTGATAAATGCTCCGAGCATCGAATTTTGACAATGCCCAAAACCTATGTGTTGTGGGATACTTGTACACTGTGTGAAGATGTATTTGCTGGGATTGGTGTAATAAAAAGCCAAATGGCCGTTAGCTAGGCAGGAGGCATAGGTGGGACTTCCAGGGAAAGAAAGGAAGAGAAGATGGCACACTGGAGATGCCAGGGGAACATACAGTGCAGATCACAGGTAACTGGGCCACATGACAGAACGTGGACTAAAATAAATGGGCTAATTGAAGTTATAGGAGCTAGTGATCGAGCCTAAGATGAGGCCAAGCTTGCATAATTAATAAGTACCTGTGTTGTTATTTGGGAGCTGGCTGGTGGGACAGAAGAAGATTCCATGATGACCATGGAAACCTGGAACCCAGGGGCTGAATACACAGAACTGAGTTGCTGCGGAAGCCATGAGTTTGGGCATGAGTATGTTTGGATAATCTTTCTAAGTAACCTTTCTTGTTGAGCCCAGGGCAGCTTTGAACATAATTTATAGCTGGTGACTTTGAACTTCTGATCTTTTAGCACCCTATCCTGAGTGCTGGGATTACATGTATGTCCACCATGTCCCATTTATGCAGTGCCGGGGACACTCTGATGTAGTTGGGTTTTTTTGTTGTTGTTGTTGTTGTTTTCTTTACTCTTTGGGGGGCTGCCACTCAGCTCCCAAATAAATACACAGAGACTTATTTTTATTCATGAATGTCTGGCCTTAGCTTGGCTTGTTTCTAGCCAACTTTTCCAACTTAGCTAATTATGCCATTTCTCTTTAACTATGTTTTGCCTCTGGGCTTTTCATCTTTCTTTATTGTGTTTATCTTTCTTTCCTTCTTACTCCATGGCTGGTCCCTTATGTCTTCCTCTCCTCCTTTTCTCAAACCTCACTCTTCTTTCCTGGATGTCTCCTATATTTATTCTCTTGGCCCACCAGCCCTGCCTATCCCTCTTTCCTGCCTAGATATTGGACATTCAGCTCTTTATTAGATCAATCAGGTGTTTTAGACAGACAAAGTAACACAGCTTCACAGAGTTAAACAGATGCACATGAAAGAATGCAACATGTCTTTGCATCACTAAACAAATATTACAGCATAAATGAATGTAACACATCTTAAACTAATATTCTACAACACTAAGATATCTACAACATTATTAGGCAATATAGTATGATCACTGTCTTCCATGAGGTCTCCTGATGACCAAAACATGTACTACATTTATTACAGATTATTTAACAGTGAGGAACCGACACAAACTAAGATATTAGTAATTAAAATGGATCAGCTAAAACGCTAACTCACGGAATACAATAAAATTAATATAAATAATATCTTAGAAAAATAACTGAGACGATGGAATAGCTCAAAAGGTTGGCTACATAAAGCTTTCCTCTTAAGAATCTGGTGCACGGGGAATAGGCTCAGTGCCTCCTGGAAGCATATTGGAAGCATAGATCCCCTTAGAACCTGGAGCTGAACAAATTCCAAACTCTCCAGGTCATTCCCAGGTACATTATTGTCAGAGAAATGGGTAGTATCAAGATGTGTTAGTTCTTCTGAGAAACTATGGCGATGTCTATTTATCCAAGTCTACCTCTAAAGAGAAAGATGTTTATTTTAAGAAATCAGATCCCAGTACTCAGGAAGAATAGACAAGTAGATCTCTCTGAGTTCAAGGCCAGCCTGGTCTCTATAGTGACTTCTAGAAAAGCCAAGGCTATGCACACAGTGACCCAGTGTTGTTTTTGTTGATGTTTAAAGGAAAAGAAATAAACTCACATCATTCCAAGGCCTGGCTAGTCTGAAATCT